GAGTCAGAGTAGCGCCATCTCACTGCGGAGCTGAGTCCCACCTGGTTTTTAGACGTACAGTGTGAGCAGGTAGATCGCATCAGAGCGATGCGATGTGACCTCACTCAGTGTGAGCTGTAGCTGCGTGCAACGATTGCAAAAATTCGCAGTGTATGCTCGGCTTCAGATTCTGTACAATGCAAGGGAAGGCTAACATAAAAACTCAACATTGCAACATTTCTTAACAAATTTAAAGCGATAGGAAAAAAGGACAGAATCCCATTTCCAGGGCAGATCAGGCAGAGATTAACCAGAAAGGCCTTAAACACATTGATTATCTTTTACACATTCTAGTTTAGGATCCTTGTTATAAATGGGATCAGTAATTTTGGTCTTCTTCATGAAGCATAAACAAAGAGGACCAGGACGCACTTGAGCCGATGGTACCGGTACCGTCCATCCTGGTACCAGACCAGGTACCCGATGGACTGTAGGTTTTTGGGCAGGATTCTGACTTCCTATCTGAGAAAGCGTCTCCATGTTTGGCCCGGCGGGTCCAACTGGACCTCTGATCCTAGTTTTAGTTCCTGCTTTGTGATCATACTGATTGGACGCTTCATTGTTGACTGTGTGCAGGAACCTGAAGGCCCCTCAGGACCCGGACCGGGCCAGAACGCAGCCCGGCAGCAGAAGACCCCCGCAGATCCTTCTGGTGTCCCCCCCAACGCCTCCGGTGGAACGGACCCGATCCAGAACCCCGTCCTGGGGTCTCTGTCCTCTCAGGGACCTGGACATGCGGCCTCAGACCCCCCCTCTTCTCACCCTCCTACACAAGCTCCGCCCACCAAGTCCGACCGCTGCCCCTTCGCCCCCCCGGATTGTCCCTCCTCGGCTCCACAGCGGCCCCCCCTGGTGGACGTCCGAATGATCGACTTCGCCCACTCCACTTTCAAGGGTTTCCGCGGCGACACGGCCGTGCACGATGGGCCGGACCGGGGCTACGTGTTCGGACTGGAGAGTCTGATCCAGATTCTGGAGAGCCTTCGAGACGAAAACCTGCCCTAGCGCCGGACCCTCAGAGAGCGCGCACATCCGGGCCCCCGGCCGGGTTCTGGGAGGGTCTGTGGGACCAAACTGGCATGGTTCTGTTCAACCGCCCGGTCTCCACACACACACACACACACACACACACACACACACACCTGATACTGTGATCTGTTCAGGCCCTGCTGCAGCGGCCATGTTCTCCAGACCCTTCCTCTGTAGCCGTGGAAACGGGTTTTTCTGGACATCAGTAGGACAGAGGAAGGGGGGCCGGTGGAAAAACACCTCATGGTGGATTTCTGCTCTTATGAGGACCTCTGTGGTTCTAACATTCCCTACAGGCCCCGCCCACTGGACCAGTGAGCGCCCACGCTCTGTGGCATCCTAACAGGACGGGTGCTCAGAGCGCCGATGAAGGGAACCTGGTGTCCGTCCACTAGGGGGAGTCATTCTCCAGATTAAAGCTTCTCTTTAACCACAGAAACGTTTTCAGCTTCTGAAGATCAAACATCTGTCCTCCTCTGCACAGCGACGCCACAGAACCTCACTTCCTGCAGGCCCGGTCCCCCCCGCTGACCCCACCCAGCAGCCGTCACCTCCTCCTCACTCTCCTCGCTCCCTCAGAAACCGAAGCGGATGAACGGACCGTCGTCGGCTCGCCTTGTACTCTGAGAATGTCCGTGGTTCGTAACGTTAGAGGCGTAAACGTCACTTTAAAGATGTGTCCAGGTGTTAGCTTAGCTGCTGTTAGCGGATCTCATGGAAAGAGCTCGGCTCAGGTTTCAGAGGGCGGATCAGAGCCACTTTTCATGGGATTTGTTAATTGGACTGATGAAGCATCAGAGTAATATTTTTTGATAGATATTTAAAAAAAACGTGATAGAAATCACAATAATAGAAAATGAGACCAAAAAGATAATAAGATTCCTTTTAAAAGGTTTTCTGGTGTTAATTTCTGAGGCAGTCCTGCCTGAAAATATAGAAAAAAGTTTATATTTCTATAGAAATCTATGTCAGAGTCCTAACCCAACCCTGGAGCTGGATTTCGCACCGTTGGCCAATCAGATTAGTTCAGCAAAGCTTCCTCTGACTGAGGCTGAGGCTGGCCGCAGGGCGACACCGCCCCCTGCTGGACAGCAACAGGAACTCAGCCCCAGGAGCAGGAATTGAATAGAGCAGAAGTTATATTTTATTTTTTGGTTTATTAAGGTAATAATTTATTTTTTTATTGCAACCCTTTCCCACAGATACGGGTAAATGTTTTATCTTTAAAAGCCCCCCCCCCCATAAAAGTGTTTAAAGAATAAAAGTAAAGCTGTTATTAGGAGCAGGATTAGAAGCAGTGTTAGTGGAGCTACTCAGGTCTGGGCTTCCCGCTGCCTCAGTCGGCACGCGGCGGCGTGCAGCGCCCTCCTGCCTGCTTTGGAGCTCCGGTTCTTCTGGGGAAACTGTTCATCATGTCTGTGTGCGACCTCGGACCTCGACGGAGAACCCTGCATGCTCATCAGACCGTTACTGTCCTCATGGCTTCAGAGACTGACGGGACAGATTTTTCTTTTTGTTTCCATCTGACATCCTGTTTGTTAGAAACAGTGAAAGTTTGTGAGATTAAATCTTTCCAGAAGCTTCTGCCTCGTGTTGTGATTCCTGAGTGGACCTGATGTTTTTTCAGCTTTTCTGTTTCCAGCAGCAGGAACGGCGCCGTTTTCAGCACCATGGTTTGAGCTGTCTGCTCTGTCTGCTCCGTTGTTCAATTCTATTCAGTTTATTTCTACTTTCCAGTTCACCAGATCATCCAGTAAGATTGATTCAAAGTTTTCTATCTAAGGAAAACCAGCT